CTAATTCTTCTGTCAACTGACGTCCAGATGTCCCCAGCATCTTCCTGGTGTGCTTGCATGGAGTAACTGTGTGTTCAGGACAGTTACAGAGGTCGGAGACCAAATCTCTAATGTTTTGAAAATGATGGTTTGACAGAAGAGGTTGAAATGTTTCCCAAGTTTACAAAAGGATGTCAAGTGTCATAGACTATAGGCCGAAGGCTCAACATGCAAATTTTGTTTTTGGGTTGCATCTCTTATGAAGGGCTGTGCCGACGGGGGTTGTGTGTGGAGGGTGAGAGTCATTTTGATGCTTTAAGTTAGACCAACCACTTTTGCCCGGCTCATTCACGTCACGTTTTTACTTCATAAATTATTTTGAGAGAGCTTACAAATGGATCTAGGAACAAGTCCTGGCCTGTTTCCTGCCCGTGAGTGCTCTGCCGAGATGCGTTAGTCCCACATGTCTGAAGAGCTCTCAGCTGGTCCCTGGTCTTGTGAAGGAGCAGGTCACTGCAGGGGTGGTCGGTGTTCTGGTCTTGGCAGGTTGCTGTGTGGTGTGAGGCAGAGCCGGATTTCACCTTCTTCTCTGTGCACCATTTTGTCTCTGAGTGTCCCACAAGTCACTTCAGTTCTGCACCAGCCCTGGCTTTGTGCAGTGGCCTGTCCCTGTCACCCAAGGGCAATGGTGTTCTGAAAATATACAAGGGAAACGTCCCAGAGAGGAACAGTTCATAAGACTCTGATATCCTTAAACAATTAAACATTTTTTTATTAATTAATTTATTTGTTTATAAAAATTTCCACTTCCTCCCCTCCTCCCCATACCCTCCCATTCTCCCCACTCCCTCTCCTCCCCCCCCACTCCCTCCCCTCCTTCCTCTCCAATCCTAAGAGCAGTCAGGGTTTCCTGCCCTGTGGGAAGTTCAAGTTCCTCCCCTCTCCCTCCAGGTCTAGGAAGGTGAGCATCCAAACAGACTAGGATCCCAGAAAGCTAGTACATGCAGACAAAACAAGACCCAGTGCCATTGATATTGGAGGTAGACAGGCTTGCCAGGCAAACTTGGGTGCGGGGGGGGTGGGGGGTGGAGGTGGGGGGAGATGGTTGGAGAGAGGGGAGAGGGGGAGGATTGGGGGAATGGGAGAGGGGAGGAAGGATGGATATAGGACTAGGGAGGTGTATATCTCAACTAAGGGAGCCATTTTAGGGTTTGCAAGAATCTTGATTCTGGAGGGGTTCCCAGGCCCAAGGAGAGGTCCCCAGATTGTTCCCTGGACAGCAGAGAAGCGCGTACCTGAACTGGCCCTGGTCCGTAATCATACTGATGAATATTTTGTATATCATCATAGATCCTTCATTGGGCGATGGATGGAGATAGAGATAGAGACACACATTGGAACACTGGACTTAACTCCCTAGGTCCAAATGAGAAGCAGAAGGAGGGAGAATGTGAACAAGAAAGGCAGGACTAGAGGGAACCTTCATCTGACGATAGATGGAGATAGAGACGGAGACCCACATTGGAGCACTGGACTGAGCCCCCAAGGTCCAAATGAGGAGCAGAAGGAGAGAGATCATGAAAAAGGAAATCGGAACCGTATGGGATGCGTTCACCCTCGGATACAAGGGGACTGATCGAATGAGAGCTCACCAAGGCCAGCTGGACTGGGACTGAACGAGCATGTGATCAAACTGGAGTCTCTAAATGTGGCTGACATGGGGACTGACTGAGAAACAATTAAACATTTTTACTTTCTATTTATGTGTATGCCTGCTTATTCTGTGTACCATGGTGTGCAGTACCAGCAGAGGCCAGAAGGTGGCATTGAGTCACCTAGAACTGGAGTTACCAGAAGTTGTTAGCCCCCATGTGGGTGCTGGGACCAAAACCTGGGTCTTCTACAAGAGCAGTCAGTGCTCTCAACTGCTGAGCCAGCTCACCAGCCTCAAGTTTTAAATAACTTTTAAGTTCATAGTACTGTTTTAATTGTTTTGGTGTATTCTAAGATGCTCATTTCTTATTGTGCCTGACTTATAAAGTTCCTCAATGGTGTGTGTGTGTGTGTGTGTGTGTGTGTGTGTGAATGCATACATATATACATATGTGACTGAATATATACATATGTGTGTGTGTGTGAATATATACATATATGTGTGTGGATACATACACACACACACACACACAAAACACAAAAAAATGCATACACACACACATGAAAAACATTTAGTGTATGGAGACTTGGTGCCAGGGACTTCCCCAGCCTCTTCTGGGTTCTTGTCTGTCTGTCCCCATTCCGCTACACACAACCTCTACAGAGGTCGCAGATCACTTCCTATCTCTTACAGACTCAACTTTCCCATAGAGGCGACACAGGAGGACTGTTTTTCTCAGTTGACCTAGTGATGTGGAGGCAAAACAGAGATGGATTCAATGGTACAGCATCATCTGAATGCTGGAAACTGGAGGAGGGATGGCTGCCTTTTCCGTACCATACTGGGGCAGACGACGCTTGGCTGCCCCTCTTTTCTGGATGGAAAAGTCCACAGGTGCCTTAGTTGTGGTGTCCACATGACTTGGATCAACCTTACATTTTGAAAACACGTGTCTGGAGGAAGAGACGTGACACAGCATCCCGGAGCTTGCTTGTCTTTCATGTTCTCAGGTCAAAGGTTGAGAGAACTTTCTGTTCTAAGGACCTTTATTTTTTAAATAATACTTTAAAAATAAAAGACAAAATTATATAATTTTCTCCCTCCCTTTCCTTGCACAACCTCTCTGATGCCCTTCTCCTCTGCTCCCTTTCAAATTCATGACCTCTTATTCTTTATCATTGTTTTGATACACACACGTGTGTGTGTGTGTGTGTACATGTGCACAAATGAATATATAAATGTAACCTAGTGGAGGTGGCCTAGTGTGGCTTGTGTGTTTGCTTTTTTTAGTGTTGATCACTTAGGGTTGCGTTGCCCCTTAGGTGCTCATATCTGGGGTAGACAAATTCTCCCTCTGTCAGCAGATTTTAACTGCCTGTAGTTCTTCATCTAGAAGTGAGGTCCTGTGTGATTTCCCTCTTTTAAGGGCCTTTAAAAGTGGATCCTGAGCTGGGGAGATGGCTCGGAGGGGAGAGCGCTTGCCCTGCCCTTAGATCCCTGGAGCCTATGTAAAGCCAGATGAAGTCACACGTCTATGTGAGCTCCTATGGTGACACGGGAGCTGGAGACAGGAATCTGTGGACCAACAAAGGCCATTAGCCTGAGGTATGGAATGGCAAGGAAGAAACCCTGTCTCAAACAATGTGGAAGCTAAGGACTGACACTCAAAGATATCATCTGACATACACGCATGCATTATGGCACATACCTGTGCTCAACAAGAACACATATGTGCATACACACACACACACTTTTCAAAAGTGTTTTGTTAAAACCATTCACCAAAAATTTAACAAAATCATCAGTAAGGAAAATTGAACCACGAGATACTGTGGGAAATTTGACCACTATGTAAATGCGTATTGCTGTGGCTGGTGTAATAAAAAGCCGAATGGTTGATAGCTAGGCAGGAGATACAGGTAGGACTTCTGGGGAGGGCAAGGAAGAGGAGATAAATCGAGGCTCACAGAAGTTTCCATAGAGATTCAGGAAGTTGGACATACAGAATAAAAGAAGGGTAAAAAGCCACATAGTAAAACATAGTTATAAATAAAAATAAAAGCAGGTTAAAAGTTAAAAGAGCTAGTGGGACAAGCCTAAGCCAAGGCCAAGCTTGCATAATTAATAAAGAATCTCCGTGTAGTTATTTGTGAGCTGGTGGCCCACAGAAGAATCTGACTACAGAGGGAGTTTGGGGTCATAGTCTGTGTCTCTGAGTGGTCATCTTAGTGCGTGTTTGGTCTGAAGCTATTTGCATGGACCGTGGAGGAGGAAGGCTCTGGTACGGTCAGAGGAGTCACCTGGGCTCCCTAGCGTGAAGGCATAGCACTGCACCCAAACACAACAGGCTAGGTGATGGGTCACGGGCCAGGCACTCAAGGTCACAGACCTCATTTGTTAGTTTGAGACCGGGTCTCATCGAGTAGCCCTCGATGGCCTTGAACTCACAGAAGTTCACCTGCTTCTGTCTCCCAATACTGGGATTAAAGGTGTGCACCATGGCGTCTAGTAAGTTCACAAACTTTGAGCCCGGAGCAGGACTATCTTTGTCCACTGTGAAGTACCAGGGACTCGTGTGATAGGCAGCTCTGTGCAGACCCGTCTCTCTGCCTCTTGTTTCCTGGGTGCCTCCACTCTGTGCAATCTCTCAATGCTCTGTCCGCCACGGTGCTTCTCTTGTGGGCCTGTTCATCTCGCCGCTCTGCTCAGTGGGTGACATTGTCCTAGGAGGGACGGAGATGGAGCTGCTGACCTCACACCGTTCACACTCTCCCGGGGGGTGTAGAATATTCAGTGACTTTTAAGAGCCACAGGTGGGAGTGGATGTTTTGTACACAATGTGATCCTCGCAGCAGGACCGATTTCTCTCCCCCCTCAACTCCTCCCCACCACTCCCTTGGGTATTTTTGAAATATGATTCAATGCTGTAAAGAAGGCCTTTGAGCCTAAGCACCCACAGAAACTCTGCTAACGCGAGTTTAATTTTGGCAGTATGATTGTCTTGTGGTTACTCTGCCCCGAAGCCAGACCACAGCAAGGGCCTGCCTCCCTCCCTAACCACTACAAAGTGGGGAGTGGGGTACAGGAACAAAAGAAGACTTACCTCATCCCCCGTGAGAGGGAGACCATAAGAGCCTGGGTAGGAGGTGATGACTGGCTGCGTACCCTTATTATTGGGGACTCTGAGATGGCTGTATTACCCCACTAACTATCCAGCATGGGCTGGACAGCCACCTGAATAGTCACATGTCCTCAACTGTTTGCAAAAGGCTGATTGTTTTGAAGCCAGGCAGTTCTATGAACTAGTTTTTTTTTTTTTCTTTATTTCAGCATGGTCTCCATTATCTGTTTTCTCCTCTTCATCTAGCTATCTGTGAAACTGAATATTTGCAGAGGAGCCCCAGCTTTGGAAACTAGATTCAGTGAATAAGGTAGGATCTTTAGGACTCTTTGGCCAGCTATCCCAGCCTACTTGGCAAGTTCCGGGTCAGTGAATGACCCTGTCCGCCCAAAAAAGAGGTAAACAGTGCCCGAGAAATGGTACTCAAGAGTGTCCTCTGGCTTATACATGCACCTACATGTGGGCACATGCTCACCACCACTCCCCACACCAGGCCGAGATAGGCACATAGGACCTCAGGTAAGACCCGGATGGAGAAGAAATGCAGAAGAAAGCAGGAAGCCCAGTGCCCGTTGACAGGAGCACTGTGGGGCAGAGATGGTATGGGAGTTCCATCAGCCTCCTCGTTTGCAAGCTGGCCAGTAGCCCCAGGTGGGGCAGGAGCTCTTGGCAGGTGAGCACAGGTCATGAGTAGACACATGAGGATAAGAGGGAGGAGGGGGAGGGGGACAAAGCCTCTTATGCAGGACAGTGAGTTAGTGGGTGAATGACTTAGTTTGCAGTGGCTGGCACACACAGCTCGGAAGGTTCTTCATGAATTCTTTTGCTTTACAGATTTTAAATTTCATGCATTTCCTAGTCAGTCTTCTAGGCAAACATGTTCCGGGTGGACTTAGGGCAGAGTGAGATGCAAGGCCAAGGGCTTTGTATCTGAAAGATTAGCTGCGGGAACTCACAGGAGGAGGCCCTGCATCCATAGAACTCAGAGTTGCTCAGAGTTGGGATACAGGAAGCCCAGGTCTCCCCACAGAAGAGGGGAGCTCGAATTGCAAGGATAGATAGGGAGCTGGAATTTGCAAACAGCATCTGCCTTTGATCCTTCAGGAAACCGAGAACATGGCTGGAAGGGGCCAGTGCATGAAGCCTCCCTTCTCTGACCTGGTTTGGATTATCCTGAGGGAAACTCAGCATTGAGGAGCATCATCTCCCTACTCGTCTGCAGATCCCAGGGTTCAGGGTGACACAGTGAATGTGCCCAGCAGTTTGAATCTATTGACACAAATGTATTGTATGCTGTTAAAGGAGGGGGGGCGGTATTTATCAACACATCGCCATGGTACATCATTAAACAGAATGCAAATGGTGGAATGGTATTCATGGCAGGTTTTTATCACAAATACATAAAAATATAGGCTTTTAGAAGGCTAAAGTGGGGAGTCGAGATTAAGGGGAGCAATAATCCTTTTTACTATGTGGTCTGTGCTGACCCAGACACTTTCAGTACTCCTGAAATCCTGACATGTAGACAGTTAATGCATACACATGCTTTCTCTGTCTTTTCAAATGTCTTACCCACTCCAAATACTTCTGCTAATTTCACCCATTCTCTCTGCTGCCTCCCAGCTCTGCTAAGTCAACACTATCCAGTTTCTGCCAGGACAATTTGATCATTTCTTTTACCACCATGGGCTTTGTTGTTAGTAATTAGTCTCCAGTTAATTTTCTATTTGAAAATTTGAAAACTGGCGCCTAGCAAGTGGATATTTTTATGGGACCTGATGTGACAGTGCCATGCCCCTAAGCTGGGTGTAATGGTTAATCATTGTCAACTTGACTGGATTTAGAGTCACTTAAGAGGCCAGATGGTGGTGGTGCACGCCTTTAATCCCAGCACTTAGGAGGCAGAGGCAGGTGGATCTCTGTGAGTTCGAAGCCACTTTGGTCTACAGAGTGAGTTCCAGGACAGCCGGGGTTACACAGAGAAACTCTGTCTCAAAAACAAAAACAAACCAACAAAATAGCCCAACCAACCAACCAACCAACCACCAACCAAAGACTCACTTAAGAGACACACCTCCAGGTGTGTATGGGGAGTATTTCCAGAAAGCTTAACCGAGGTAGCAAGACTGGGCACCATCCCATGGGCTGCCATCTCAGACTGAGTGCAAAGAAACACAGGAAGAAACCAGGAAACACCAGCATTCACCTCTTTCTGGTTTCTGACTCTGGATACCATGTGGCCAACTGCCTCAGGCTCCTGCCTTCACGACTGCCCCTCCATCATAGACTGGGTCCTCTAACCGGAACACCAAAATACACCCTTCCTTCCTTCAGTTTCCTTTGTCAGGGCAACGAGGAAAGGTTCTAACACAGCATGTAACGAGTGCAACAGGGGACTTGCTGGGTCCCGTATCTTGGACATTTATCGTTTTATGTTGTGTTGAGAAAACGTTTAAAAGCTCTTTTCCTTTCCATTTTGAGATACACCGGTAACTATTGTCAGGCATTGTTACCTTCCCACGCAATAAAACCCAAGAAGTTACTCCTGCCCCACTGCTTTTCTGTATTAACTAGCTCCTCCTAGGCCACCCTTCCCCCACCCTTCCCAAGCTCTAGTTGCTACTGCTTAGTATGAAGCCACACTATTGTCCACCCCACCCCGTGTGTGTGTGTGTGTGTGTGTGTGTGTGTGTGTGTGTGAGAGAGAGAGAGAGAGACAGAGACAGAGACAGAGAGAGACAGGGGTTGACATCGGATGCCTTCCTCAGTTGCTCCCACTTCTTACAAACTGAAGCAAAGCCTCTTCCTGACCCCCAAGTCCCCTGATTCAGCGAGTCAAGCTGGTCTACAGGCTTCAGGGGTCCGCTCTGTTTTCCCCTCCTTCCTGCCACTGGGGTTAGGAGTGTGTGGCACCAAACCTGACTTTTTGTGTGGATGCCAGGCACTGGATCTGAACTCAGGACCCGAGGCTTGCATTTTATTCGGTGAGCCATCTCCCCAGCCCACACCATTTATTCTTAATTGACTTCACTTACACAAAACTGTTCTTTACCTTCTAGGAGAGTTAGTCTGGAAGATATTTTCCATAGTTCAAGGAAAAGCAGCCATCTGGAATGAAAGAAGCTCAGAGACCCTCAGCTGTGTCTTGGGATGCTCTTGATGTTTTCCCTATTTATTTTTGGACGTTTGCATCTGTGAGGTTTCTTTTTGTTTCCAACCATACTTTGACTTGCTCTCACATACTCGGATACCAAAAAAATCAAGTCCTTAGTTTGGCACAAGACAGTCCTGCGTGCGGAGGTCCTCTTGAAGTGGTTTTATACTTCTTGGATGCTGGCAGATGTCTCACGGGTGAATTCTGTCAGGGGACTGGTCATTTTAGATGTAGTCGGAGCAAAGCAAGCGCTGGACACCCGAATCCATCCTCTAAGGGCCTTTCTGTTCTTCAGCTTCAAACAGGGCTTGTCTTGCTCTGCGGGCGTCTGCAGAATGCCTGCGGCCTTCTTCCCGCTCCAGGATTCTGCCTGGAGCAATCGGATAATTAATTCCTAAGACGATAACAAATGGGTAATGGAGATGAAGGTTTGGTTCAGCAAGATCTGAACAGTTCAGGAACACAGATCTGGGGGTACAGGCAGCACCGTTTCCCTCACTGCTCTGATAACAACAGGGTAGCCCTGCCATTGGCCTTCCCCGGTCTCCTCTGGTTCTGTCACCTTGGATCCAGCCTCCGTTGGCTTCCCCTCTACCTGCCTTTGGGCAGCTCACCAGTGTTAGAGTCAGTTGGGATTCCCCTGAAACAGCTGGAGTAACAGGACACACACCTGTAGCTTGTCCATACCCTTGTACATACATACATATGCATGTACAGACCTGTACATACCCTAGCACATCTATGTAGACTTCCATGTGGCTCCTGGAAAGGCCTACCTTTCACTTGAATACTTAAGGAATTTAGAAAAGAAAATCAGAAGTATGAATATAAAAATACAGTCAGCAGCAGGCCAGTGTATGCCTGTGTCCCACTGAGGAGGGTGCCTCTGAGAGCCTGGCTCTGTCGTCAGCGATGGCCCCTGTCATCGTCACCGGTGATGGCCCCTACACCAGAAACTGCTGAGAACAAGCTCACAGCTGCCCAGAGGTTGCTGCTCATTGTTCACCATGACTGTGGCTGCTGTTTTCCCTCTCCTGGAGAGCCAAGAAGGAGCTGAAACCTAATGGCCTTTCTCCTTCCTCTCATATTCATGTGCCAAGCCAGAAATGGCTGCTCTGAAACCCAGGATGAGTATCACGCCTGTCAATGAAAATGAGCGGACTATAGAACCTGCAAAGGGCCTGTCGACCTAGGTCAAGAGCCTGTGTCTGAGGGAAGTGCCTGGTGCCTGTCATCTTCTTGACTCTTGAGACTAGGAGCTATGACTCCCCAGCAGGAGACTTTAGCGTTATTAACTCCAGGGTTATTAACTCTAGGGCAAAAGCGGGAACAATTCCAGGCTCCCAGAGCAGTTGGGTCCCCAGGAGGCTGCTGCTCGCAGGTCTCTGTGAGGCTGCCTCATCACAGGCTGGGAGGTTCAGGGCAGAGCTGGGGGTCGGGGCACCCTGGCATTTCTTAACATCTACTTGTCACTTCAGCTCCACTCTCCAAACTAAGTGGCATCTAGTCTAGTGTACTGTTGGCAGGTGACAGTCAAGGCTATGCAGTGGGAGACAGTGTGCCCCACCCTTGCCGCCCCATGTTCTACCTCCCCCTTAGATCCTGTCTAAGCTGCTGTTGCCTTGCTGGGGATGTGGAAAACACGGATTCTTCCTTTAACCAAACTTGCATGAGGTGTTCTTTGTTGGCATGTTGGCAGGGAGAGCCTAAGAATGATGTACCCAATGTCTTAGAACGTTGAGATGCCGCTCCAACTTGGATGACTCTGTGTTCAGCCCAGGGACCCAATCCTTATGGAATTTCCCGGATGTTAGGGTGTGAAAGCCTACTGAGACATTTCAGGACAGCAGAGTTGTGAAAAGGCCGGAGTGAGCAGCCTGGGCTCAGGTTCTAGCTGGGCCATTTAGCCATGAGTGGCCACCAGCCAAGTTCTAAACCTTTCTGACGCTTAGGTTTCTCAGCCGCGATAACAATAGGAAGCTAGTGACAAGGTTGCTGGGCACAAAACGAACTCATTCTTGCAGGATTAGCTGAGCGCCAGACCCGGAAGAAGTAAATGCTCGGGAGTCATTGGCAGGATGGTAGCACAGGGCCTTGACCCACTTCCCCCAGTGAAGCTGGCTTAATGAGCCCCTCTCCTTGCTGCACGCACAGAGGTTTCCTTTAAATCCTTTAAGTGAGGTGTGCGCTCTGAGGAAACTGTTTCTGATAGGCACTGGACTCCCCAAACCCATTGATGAGAGATGTGTCTGTTTACTGAGCAGATGCTGCTGGAGGAGGGGCCTCCGCTGGCTGGTTCTGTTTGGGGGGGGGGGGGGGGGCGTCAGATATTTCAGAGTCCTAACCGAGGCCAGCTTCTGCCCAGCATAGTTACTGCCCTGACAAAAGACTTGGCAAGGCAGATGAAGGAGGGAAGTGTTTGTTGTGGTTCGTGGTTTAATGAGGGACACAGCCCCTCATGGTGGCACAGGCACAGCAGTGGGAAGCTGAGGAGGTGGATCTCATTGTCCTGGCAATCAGGGAGCAGAGAGCAGTCTGGAAGAGAGTGGGGCCCACCGCTGGCGGCCCACTTCCCCTAGAAAGTCCACCTCCCAGACGCCACAACCTTCCAGAACAATGTTACCGGATGGGGATCAAGTGTTCAAACCGTTGAGCCTGTGTGGAACATTTTAAATTCAAGCCCTAACAGGATCCAGGACTGAGGCCTGAGCCATGTAGCCTCAGGGATGGGTCAGTACGAGTTAGGACTCACCTACGGGTTCTTGTGACCTGGCCCTCTGCTTCCAACCTGGAACGGAGAGCTCCCCCCTCCTCCCACTTGGAACATTCTCTAGGTTCTGGGACGGGATGAGGCTTTATCCACGTGCCCTGTCCTGCCCCCCTCTCGCATGTGCTGACTCACCTGTGGCTTTCGTTCCCAGAACCTCTTGTGCTATGTTTTGGTTTGAGGGAGTCATGTGTGCACCTTGCTGCTTCCCACGGCTGAGCCGAGCCTGGCCTCACCCCTGTTACCACATCCAGACCTTCCCAGGAAACATTGCAAGTACACACCATGCAATTTTCTAGCTCATGAGAAAAGAAACAGATAGTGACGTACCACTCTGTCCACTTTTAGTTCAACAAAAACGACACACCCAAACCAACTTTTCACTTAGCGCACCTTCTAGAGACTTTCAGAAACCTCGAG